CAGTATTTTATCCTATAGTGGTCAAGGGTCTGATGACTACTGAAAAGGCCAAAACAGAAATCCCAAAAGAAGTCAAGGAGTTGTTAAAGGGGTTTGAAGAGATAATTGCGGATGATTTACCTCCTGAACTTCCTTTTATGTGTTGGTCCCAACCAGGTCTACAAGAGTTTTAGACGAACAGTTTGTAGAAGGGGGGATGAATACAAACACAGAAAACTTTTGTATTTAAAAATATATATTGATATAGAAGGATCAATATAGATTTTTTGTAGATTGTTTGCGGAAATAGAAAAGGTAAAGATAATATATCTAAAACAATCTAAGATTACACACAAATATACTTAGCAAATAGAAAAGATTTGCCGAAAAGCTAAAGACAAAAAGATGTTCTTCTTGGGTAAGAACTTTAAAATTCTTGAGAGAAATTCTAACTTGCTTGAATATAAGCGTACGTGTTCTATAGATAGATGATCTATTCTGCATGGAAAGAGCACTCAACGATTTATACCCTTTACATTAAATGCAAATCAGAAGGGTTGGAACACGCGTCAAGCTTTAAGAGGAAAGCTTATCCTTTGCAACAGTGAATAATATAATTGTCTATCCATGAGCAGAAATCCTTTCGTGGAGTTGGTGGACACTAGAGTCGACTAGTCGGCTTCGTGCAGTACTATACTCTTGAAAGGGTATGGGTTTTTCTTTGTGTATGGAAGGATAAGAAAAAAAAATTATGCATGGCATGCTTCATTTGATTGCTGAATGCCGGAATAACGCTGGAGGTCTCTTCAACATTCACTGAGACTTGTGTAGTCTTCATACATATGTTGACCAGGTTGTAATCATTGAATACCGCTTCAGATAATGAACGTGTCAGTCACTAATCTTCAGTTTCAGTCTTCGACGTTTGCTGAAGGATCTTTGGTGTGAGTGTTGTTTTATTGAAGTATCGTTGTCGCTGTAGGATTACAATGCATGTTTCAGCGATCACTGATCAGACTCAGTGATGATTGCTGGAACTAAAAAGACAGAAACAATAATACTTCGAAAGGTAAAAATGGATTATCATCAAATCAATGATAGAAATGATCAACACTATGTGATACATCCAACACCAAATCGATCTAATTCCAGGCGCTAGTCTACCAAACTTACCACATTACTGTATGAGTCCAAAAGAGAACGTGATCTTGAGGGAACAAGTGGGAGACTTTCTTGAAGAAAGAATTCATCTGAGAGATCCTAAGTCCTTGTGTCATTCTCGTCCAACTAGTGCCTAAAAAAGAAAAGCAATGGCGAATGTGCATCGACAACCGCCTTATCTATAAAATCACCATTAAGTATTTATTTCCTATCATGCGATTAGAAGACATGCTCGATGAGTTATTTGACTCTACCATCTTTTCGAATCTCCACATAATCTATCACCATATTTGAATCCGACATGGTGATGAGTGGAATACATCATTCAAAATAGCTTTTGGACTTTATGAATTGTTGGTGATGTTTTTCAGAACATCGAATGCACCAAGCACCATCATGAGGATAATGAATCATGTACTCCTTTTTATCATAGTAGTCTATTTCTACGACATTCTCATCTATTCCAAAACAAAAGGTAACACTTGGAGCATCTATAACACGTCTTAGCGACACTCCACAACAAGTTATATGTCAATCTAAAAAAATGCATGTTCTACACCCATAAACTCATTTTTATTGGTTTTATGTTTAGAGATAAATTGAAGTGGATGATGTGAAAATGCGAACCATTCAAGATTGGCCCATTCTGCAGATTGTATCTAATACACAGTTTCAACGGTCTAGCCACTTTCTATCGATGATTCATTCAAAATTTTAGCACCATTACCGCTGATCACTGACTATCTTAAGAAAGGAAGATTCCAATGGGGACCCGACTAAAGCAACAAATTTTCTATTATCAAGGAAAAATTATGTTTGACATCGGTTTATCCCTTTTAGACTTCCATAAAATCATTGAGGTCGAGTGTGATGCTACCGACATAGGTATTGGCGTTGTCGTATTACAAGAAGGTAGGCTAGTCACTTTTTTCAATGAAAAGTTAAGTGAAGCAAGACAAAAGTGGATCACCTATGATCAAGAGTTCTATGTGGTAATACAGGTGGGATTTGAGATAGTGGGAACATTACCTAATACAATAGGAGTTTATATTGTTCATTGAACATCAAGCACCCAAATTTATCCACAGCTAGAAAACAATTAACAAGATTCACACACACTGGTAAGTTTCCTACAAAATTTCCCATTCGTCATCAAGTAGAAGTCATGAACCCTCAACTGAATGGTCGATGCCCTAAGCACGAGAGCTACTTTGATTGTCAACCTTGCCCAAGAAATTATCAAATTCGTAGTTCTTAAACAACTCTATAAGGACGACACAAACTTTAGAGATGTTTGGGCTAAATGTAGTCAAGGCAACCCTAGCGATGATTTCTATATCCAAAACGGCTATCTAATCATCCTTACGAGAAAAGATCATCACAGACCTCGACGGTGAACAACTTAGTGGTCATCTTAGGCAGGACAAAACCATAACAGGCCTAGAAGAACGATACTATTAACCACAAATAAAACATGAAGCAAGTAACCTGGTCCAAATATGCTACACATGTCAAACATCAAAGGGGCATTTACAAAACAGGGGTTTTACATGCCCTTACCCGTCCATGAGGATATCTTGCAAGACCTTTCCATGGACTTTGTCTTGGGGTTACTTTGGACACAAAGGGGAATGGACTCTATCTTTGTAGTTGTCGACAGGTTTTCCAAAATGTCCCACTTCGTCGCTTCAAGAAAGACCACAGATGTAAACAACATAGCTTAGTTATTCTTTAAAGAAGTTGTCCATCTACACAGAGTTCGAAAATCTATTACATCTGACCGTGATACCAAGTTCCTTAGTCACTTTTGATTCACCCTATGGCATATGTTCGGAACCACCCTTAACAAAAGTAGCACCGTCCATCCACAAACGGACGGACAAATGAATGAGACAAACGGAACGCTAGGGAATATGCTAAGGAGCGTCTACGGAGACAAGCCCTGACAATGGGACCTAGCTTTGGCTCAAATTGAGTTTGACTACAACAACACAATCCACACCGCTACTGGTTTTTCACCTTTCTCCCTAGTGCACATTTCTCCTCCCAAACAGGTAGTTGATCTCATCAAACTTCCATGATTTCCAGAATTAGTATTGCAACTACAAATATGGTCAAAGACGTACATGCCACCAAAGAGGCCATCAAAGCAAAACTCGAGGCTACAGGGATAAGAAACAAAGCTATAACTGATAAACACCAGAAGAAAAATAATTCAAGGAGGGAAATGACGTCATGGTCTTCTTAAGGAAGGAGAGGTTTTTGATCGGCATTTACGACAAGCTATAACCTCGAAAGTATGGCCGGTCCAAAACTTCAAAGAAGGTCAATGACAATACTTATGTTGTCACCTTCCCGGACTCTTGTTGCACATTTCTAACACCTTTAACGTTGTGGATATCTACAAGTACCATGAAGACAAGGCCTTTTATCCTAACAAGAACTTAGGGTTGAGCTCTTCCGAAGTGGAGGAGATTGATATAGAGAAGATGGCCACCAACTTTGTAGAATTGATCGATCGGTGTCGTAGAAGTCAGAAACAAAACAAAGAGTGTCTCCTACGACCAACGACACAACATAAGCTGCTTGGTAAACCACCAGAGCTTCTGGATGGCACCATTAAAGTGAACTTTATTACAAAGGTTTCCTTTAAGTATTTCACGTAAATTCTTGAGCGTTTCATAGTAAAAGCTTGCCACTCTTAAGGGTTTCGAGCGTTTGTTGACTCATCCACATTTTCTTACTCCTTCACAATAATTTCTTCCTATTAGATTTTTTGCCATCATTATTTGGTGGTGAATCTCTTTTATTAACCTGTACAATTAGCTGAAAAGAAATGCAAACACTATATATAAAAATTTACACATTATTAATACATATACATGTATATATATAATAGACTAGTATATTATATAGATATATATAAAATTTTGTGGATGTTATATATATTAGCGGTGGGTTAGTGGGTTGGATTGGGTTGAGCAGGCTAACCCAATTTCAACTCTCTTAATTGGCAATTTAGCGGTTTGACAGGCTGACGGTTTAGCGAGTTGTGCTTAATTGGGTTGATAGCGGGTTAGTTTGGGTTGGATGGGTTGAATGGTTTGACGGTTTTTGTACACCATATATATACATACATATACATATAGGGGCCCATTCAACGGAGAACTGATTAGTTTGTGGTGACTGTGAGATCCAATCTCAACCACAAATCAATGGATAAATTAGAATATTAATAATTATGGTAATTTGAGTTAACATTATAATTAGAGGACATTTTAGGTATTTTTAAAATACTCCTCTCTCCTCTCTCATCTCTCCGACCTCCAATCTCCGATCTTCAGTGAACATTAATCCGGCAGGTACCAAGTAATCACAAAGATACACAATGTGATACCCATTGTGATTTACTGTGATACCAACTATGATACCAACTCAAACCTTAAAAACAAATATACACAATGTGATACCCATTGTAATACACAATGTGATACCCATTGTGATATACTGTGATATCGATTTTACCGGAGGCTGGAGATTGGAGGTCGGAGAGATGAGAGAGGAGAGAGGAGAGAGGAGAGAAGAGTTTTTTCAAAATACCTAATATGCCCTCTAATTATAATTTTAACTGAAACTAACATAATTATTAATTTCCTAATTTATTCGTTGATTTGTGGTTGAGATTAGACCTCACAGTTACCACAAACTAATCAATTCTCATTTGATTAAGCCCCTATACATATATACATACATATATATTATTGTAAAGTAGTCTTAGGGTTCAACAAAGACTGAAATTAAACCCTGAGATATATATGAGTTTTGGTTGGTCACATTGATTTAATTAATGATGTTATCAGGCATCAATGTTCTGGAGGAAAAGGATAATAGCAATATCCGCAGAGTATCCTGATGTTGAACTCTCTCATATGTATGTTGATAACGTAGCTATGCAACTGTTTTCCTTCTATCTATCACTACACTATCACGTGTTGTTTGTTTTTAACAAATACTATAGTCTGAAAATTTATTCCACTTTTGAAATGTATGCAATTTGACACAATAGTTACAAACAACATATTTGGTGATATTTTATCAGATGAAGCTTCAATGATCACCGGAAGCATTGGAATGCTTCCTTCTGCTAGTCTTGCCGCATCGGTAATTAACTAACTAACTTTCCACAATCGAAGAGTAAATTTACTTCATCATAACAAAATTAGGGTTATAGGATATATAACATATGTAAGTACACTGCTTTATAGACTTAAGTAGTTTATATAGAACCAAACTATAAAACATCATATCTAAAAGTGCTACAATAAGCTTATTAAGACGTTTTTGAGCATTTTAATAATTTTTTAGAACAATTTAAAAATAAAGTGGCGTGTTTGTTATATTATTAAGTGTTGTTAAAAAAATCTGGTTATAGGACACTGAACATTAGCTAATATGACATTTTATTTTAAAAATCTTCTTAATATTTTGTTAAAACATTCTATAATTTACTGTAACACTTTCAGATATGATCTTTTATGATTAATTCATATGAACTTAAGACTTATAAAACAGTTTGTTAAGACATTCAGACATTTTAGACGTGATTGTAATCTGTTTTCATTTTATAATATATATTTTGGTTGTATTAATATTTGTACGCAGGGACCTGGGCTGTTTGAACCCATCCATGGTTCTGCCCCTGATATTGCAGGACAGGTAGGTAGTTGATTAATTAATGTGTGAAATTATATGTAAATTGATTAATTAATGAACCATCTAAATTCATTGTTTTAGGATAAAGCAAACCCGTTGGCAACTATACTCAGTGCTGCTATGCTTCTGAAATATGGTTTGGGTGAAAAGAAAGCAGCTGATAGAGTCGAGTTGGCTGTGCTGAATGCTTTAGATATGGGACTCCGTACCCACGACATTTACTCACTTGGGAATGTATGTCCTACCTTAATTAATTGTTTATATATTATCACCTGCACTTTTATCTTAAATAAACCATTGTAGTAAAATCAGGTTTATTGTATACTCTCAATTTCTAAATGTCATAATACATTTCTTTATAAGGTTTAGTTTATAGGACCAAATAAAATTAACGTTCTATCTAAAGATTTTGTAATAAGTTTATATGACCTTTTTTGACGTCGTAATAATTTTCTTTAGAACACTTTTAATATACAACGTCCCATTAACAATTTTATAGGACACTATTTGAAAAATTGTCCTATAAAAATAAATGTCCCATAAAAAATTGAGTTTGTAGGACACTTTCTCAAAAGTGTCATATAAAGTTGCAAATGCGACACTTTGTATCAAAATTGCCTTAAAAAAAATTTAAGACGCCCAAAAAAATGTCATATAAACTTATTACAACACCTTTATATAGGACGTTTTATATTTTGTAACTATAAATTGAGTCATGTAAAACGGTCTATTGGGACACTTAAAGACTGGGGGTATCCTATAAATCCAATTTTGTTGTAGTGAACACTAAGTATGGCGCTAATAGAAATATAAGATCAAATAACAAAAACTCTTATTTAATAGTGTTACAATAAAGTTATAGGATATTTTTGGATATTTTTAAAAGTTTTAGGACATTTATAAACAAAGTGTGTTGCATTAGCTATTTTATTGGAAACTATTTGAAAAAGTTTCATATAAATATAAGTTTCCTACAAAACAACTAATTATATCAATTTTATTTTCAAAATTTCTGGAAAAAACTTGTTAAAAATGTCATATAAATCTATTGTAACACTTTTAAATAGTTTTTTTTTTTTTATATTTTGTCCTATAAATCATTCTGTTATAGCACTTTAACATTTTAGGCCTTCTATATAACGAAATGAAATGAGGGTTATTCTAAAAGTTAGAAAATTGTAACCTGCAGAAATTGGTTGGATGCAAGGAGATGGGTGAACAAGTGTTGAAGTGTTTAGATGCAAAGACACCTACATGAGTACTATGAGGTTTTATATCTTGGCAAGTAAAATGTATTTTTTCTTTTAAGTAACGTACTTTTAAAATATTCATTTTGATACCTAAGATGAAACTTTCACACATTTAAGTATCTTGGTTAAACAAGTCACTCATATGCTTAAATGTTTGAAAGTTTCTATTTCATGTACCAAAATTAATGTTTCAAAAGTATGTATGGCACTTATATCTTTCAAGACAATGGGTGCAGTCTTTTTAGACATTGGTTTGAGTTATTTATCCATTAATTTATTTCATTTTCAAACTATTTATAATTCTTGGTGAGCATCACATGTATTAAGAGCTATTTAATTGTATGTAAAAGGGATATTTTGTTTACATAATGTTTTTTTTTTTTTTTTGAAAGAATTAAATTTGTTAAACGAATTAGAATTTTAAAGTAATTGGAAAAAATGATATAAATTAGACCGAGTATTTGTTTAGAAGAAAATGAAATGTAATTTGTTTATTTGGTTTACAGAATATTGCATATCAATTAAAATGAAATAATAATAAAAAGACCAGAATATGTCTTTTTTTAAATTTTTTTATATTACTTTCTTAAATTATTAAGGGAAAATCATCCAAAATGACCAATATACAAATGGACATTTATAAAATGACCTTTTCAGAGATGTATCATAAAATGACCACTAAGATCGATCGGGTTAGACGATTTTTGGCATAAGTAGGATAAATTTTTTTTTGGTACGGATGGGTCTACATACTTAACAAATAGGGGACACAAGTCTGATTTTTCTAGAAAAAGGGAAAAGTCACTTGCTTTTTTCGGAAAATCGTCGGTGTAGGGTGATTTTTAACTTCTTGTTGACCATCAATGGGACAACTTCATGAGAAGATATGACCACTCAATGACAATCGATTTGACTACTCAAATACCACTTTTTCAGATTTTCGCCCATGGTGAGCGATTTTTTATCAAGGGGGATTTTTGACCGGCCATTTTGTTTAAATTGATGGTGGGGGACCATTCTTTATAAATACACCAATTTTTTATGCATACTCTCCTCTCCACCGCCTCCGGTCGTTATGTACCAGCATGGACCACCGTCAACCGTCATGAACAACTACCATATATTGATGTCCACCACCGTACACCTCGCTGACCAAATCATCGTCCACCGTCATCCACCATCGTCTTCTGTCATCTACCACCGTACACCGACGTCCCCACGCCCACCACCAACTACTTACATCTACCACCGGTCACCAACGTCCACCACTGTACACCTTGCCGACGAACATCATCGTCCACCACCGCATGCCGCCATCTACCAGTATACACCGATGTCCCCACGTCCACACCAACCATGACCATCTACCATCGACTTCCACCATCGTACACCTCGCTAGCACCCACTATCGTCCACGGTGATCCAATGTTGTCCCCTGCCTTCGACCACCCTCCACCACCTATTATCTATCATGGAACAACATGTAAGACATAAATTTTTTTCATTTAACTTAATAATCTATTTTTAGTGTATTTATATACAACATTTAATATATGATTTTTAACAAGTGTTCATCGAAAGTTCAATGACATTGAGGGGACAAATTCATATTATAGAAAAAAGTTAAAAGAAAAATGAAGTGATAGTCCAATGAGGATGCAAATGTTTGGACATACGTGCTTTGGCCATGGCTAGATATACTTAGCCAACATGGAGATCCTTCCATAATAATTTTTATGGTGCAATGTGCGGATCTTTCTTCCCTTCTTAACCCAAAGAAATTTATTATGTGTTGTAGGGTTGCATTTTCTTAAGACATCAGTTTTGTTTAATTACGGGCTTTTTATTTAGGCCGGAGTATCACCCACTACATTGTACCACTCCCCCAATTAAGATAAGATTATTTGATTAAAGGACGAAAAATATGGTTATGAAAGTCAGTAATTTTAGGAATACATTAAAAAAACTAAACACTTCAGCCACATCAGACGCTAATGCAGTGCTTGTGTGCCTTATAATCATGCTTTATAAGGCCGAAGAAATTCAAACAATGCCAATGACTGAATTTTACATTTGGTTGAAGATTTTGAAGCCTTGAACCGGTATCCATGAGACTCATATTTATGGCGTTCTACATATAAACAGCTGAAAAATGCATGTTCGTGTCACGAGAAGACTAATTGGCCTCCTAAGAAATACACATTGTCTGGTTTCGTTATGCCTTCAAAGTAGGTTATTGTTGTTTATTTGTCTTATAAGATGTTATTTATAAATTAATCGGCATGCTCTCACAATTTTTTTGTAACCTTTCCGATATGGATTTCAAAGGCTTTTCCTCATGCTCAAAATTATTACCATCATAAGCCGCCAATCATGAATCCCATTGAATAGCAACGGTTGAGAGGCATCATGTGTTGCAAGTTCGACCAATTCCACAATGCTCCTTTTCATAGATTATAATTCTAAATTTACTCTATTTGATTATAATATTTATGTAAAAATTATGAAAACATTATATTGATTTATATCTTTTTAGGACGCGGTTCGGCCCTTGGCCATATTGGTGACCACCTGTGGAGGAGGCGGCCGAATGGTGGATTGAAGGCAAAACCTTTTTGGCGAGTAATCATTATCGACAGCTGGACCAGACGAGGGCATGTTTGACTCTAATGACGACGACGTCCCACATTCTGCAGAGCGTCAACCGTTTGCAGATCACACGTCACATCCAAAATTGTATTCCGCAACCGTGACATTCATCTGTGGCAAATAAAAAAAATTATTGAATGGGGTGTTGAATTTAATCAAATACAGTCAGGGTTCAATAAACATTTCGCGTCAATGACGGGCCATGTAAATGAAAAATATGTTTCTTGGCGTGAGACTTATAAGGTTGAGAAAATTATTGGTTTCTTGACACAATACACACTTGGTAAGGTGATGGGATAAATATGTTTAAGCATTTGATGAGTTTACGTTATAAGTTAACAAGTAAGTTAACTTTTATATTTATATTGGATTGTGCATTCATAGGTTATGTCGGAGTCGGAACCTGCAATGGATGTGACACCATCTTTATCATCGAAGGTAGCGTCAGTGCCATATGAAGAACTTTCTTTGCCTCATGCTCTTGAGGAGCGAGTGAGCAAGAAATCTTAGTGGACAAAATCTTCATGGACCGTGTTGAAGATAAGGAAACGGGACAAGAAAGCGGTCGACCGATTGCCCACACCAATCCTAGAAGACAGTGTGTAACACCCCATACTCCACATTTGCATATAACATATATTTTATATAAAAGAAATATAGATTACACCACATAGGTTCCACTAGTACAAGGATTCTATATGTACAGAATTTACATATGAAAAATTTCAAAATAATGTCCCTAACTAACATATGTATAGCAACATGTTCGTCAAAATATACTGGCAACAGGTTGATCTTTAAAAATAGGTAACATATAAGAAAAATAATTATATTTTCCCTTTCCTTTTAATATCCCGAGACCCCGCATTTCCTGCAATGCACATTTTCAAAATACAAAAATGAGGGTTAGACAGAAAGTTCTAGTGAGGAAATCCCTTCTTTGCAAATACAAGGTGAAAATCACCAAAACCTGATAAAACATCTTTTATATAAAGATAAGTATATTTTAGCAAAATTATGCAAATATGTTTATTAGCCATAAATATCTTAACAGATTTGCCATAAAACTCCTCTAGCTCAATGGGCCAGAGCTTCTATGGTTCTTTGTTCTATTTAAAAAAATATTTTTGAAGAAAAGATTTAATTTCAAAAGACAGGGTAGAGCTCGGGTACAAAGCTTAGACAAAAAATGAAATAACTATTTTCAAGATACATAGCCTCTATATACTACATACAGAGTTTCTGGTTCATAAAATTCCTAAAACATTTTAAAGTCTTTCCATATGACCAGAGGTCCTCTGTTCTAAAAGACCAACCAGAGCCTCTCTGCATCATTCTCACACTTGTTTAAACTTGATAAAAATCATTTAGAAATCATAGGCAATTAACGCCTCTGGTTATAAATCATTTTCCTCTTTTCAATAACATCAAAGTTATTATTTTTAAAGAGAACAATACCTCCAAATCATCAAGTCACAAAGAAATATTGATTTAGAATTATTGTATCCGATAGTGATAATAACAAGAGTTATAATATTAACCACACCAACAATTGTCACCCTTATATCCATAGGTACACCTTTCCTTTATATGCTACCCTTATTTCTTCTTCAAAAAAGGGTTTCTTACCAGAACAGACTTACGTCACCACTTCTGGAAGTACTCAATACATAGTTCCATGCCAGAACAGACATATGTCATCACGTCTGGGGGAACTATTTAAAACAAAATATCAAACCAGAACAGACTTACGTCACCACGTCTGGAAGAAACATTTCAAAATAAAGTTTCAAGCCAGAACAGACTTACGTCACCACGTCTGGAAGAAACATTTTAAATAGAGTTTTCAAACCAGAACAGACTTATGTCACTATGTCTGGCAGAAACATTTAATATCTTTTCCGATTTATTAAAAGATATAAAATACCTTTTTTCACAATATAACAAATTAAACATAAATTCTGAAATCCCACCATTACATAAATCAAAGTTTTTGTTATGATCAATTCACCGGTCAACTTCTGTACGGACAACCCTAATCCGGTCAACTTCTGTACAGTCAACACTAATCTGGTCAACACTTAATCCGGGCGACACTTAATCCGGACAATGGAGATCAATAAGAACATATACATCATTTACACAAAACACACATCAATCAAAGTTATAAAACCAGTAATCAAATCCATATTCATAGGTTGTTTTTAAACAAGACTCACCTTATATAAACTCAGAATTTGAAGATGAAAAATAGCAAATACGAATCTACTTCAATTTGATTCCAACTTCAGTTCCCAAAATAGCAATAATTTACTCTCTTTGTTTTCTTTTCCAAAATAGCAGAAAACTTTCAAAATTC